GTCGTGTAATATATTTTAAAACTTTTACTTTAAAAATGATAAAAACTGAACATCCTACAGTATTTTTACAGTTAAAATATATTTTTATCACATAAAGTCTAATGTTACAACTAATCGGGGATCTCTTTAAAAATCCAACCGGCCTCCAAACTTTTCTGCCCTCATCTAAAAACAAACTAGCTTCACTTTTTACCCGTTTTTTGATCAATTTCTAAAAGGAAACAAAAAAAAAAAAACCCCATCCTGTCTGCATCGAGATGAGTTGTTTTCAGTTAAAGCACTGAAACAATGGCACAGCTGTGTTTCAAACCAAGTAAAGAAAAAGTGATGTAAGTGAATCATGGATGACTGATCACCTCTGCTCTGCAGCAGGTAGACTCTGACGTTCTGTGGATTCATGGGAACAGTTTAAATAACAGCTCAATAAATAAAAACCAACCCCAGCAGTCTGAGAGGCAGAGAAGGCCGAGCCAAGGTGCAGCCCGACGAAAACTATCCCCGAAGACCGAAAAAAGCTTTCYGCTTTCAGTAAGTTGTTGCTATGGTGGAGACATTCACTGAGAAGAGTTCTGATTGGACGGAGGGAAACAGGAAGGAGGTGACRTCACACCCTGAGGAGGTCCTCGTCGCTGTCGTCCTCCTCCCGTTTCCTGGCGGTGTTACCGTGTCTGGGGCCGGACGAGCGGGCTCTGCCGCCCTTCCTCTCCCGGTCCGACTCGTCCAGAAGGCCGACGAGGTCTTCGTCGCTCTCCTCCTGAAACGCAAACCGTACGTGAGGTTTTCGGACCCGGGCGGCGACTTGTTCCCGGGCCGGGAGGACCGCTCACCTGCAGGAAGGCGGAGCGATGGGCCGCGGACTTCCTGGAGGAGGCGGTGGACGGTTTGACCACCCGGACCCCCGGGACGCTCAGGACCTCGTCCTCGCTGTCGTCCTCCTGCTCGTCCAGCGAGAACGAGCGCAGGCCGTCCGTGTTCACCGGCTTGGTCTTGATGTGGCCGTTGCTGTGGCTGCTCCTGCCGCGGTGCGAGGAGGAGGAGGAGGGCGGGGCTTCCAGCTCCTCCATCAGCCACTCCATCTCCTCTTCACCTCCTTCATCTGTGTTGACCTGAGGGTCGGACGGTGATTGGTCAGGAATTTAACCAAAACATCTATTTACATTTTCTGTTTGATTTTATTTTACTGCTGGACTCTTTGTATTTCTGATTAATTTTGATCTCTAGGTTTGTTTATTTATTTATTTTTTAAGGGGGTGTAATAAGCAAAATAGATTTTTTTTTGGTTACATCATGTTATAATATGATACCATCATCAAAAACATCCCCAACGTGTTGCTTTGACTCATTCATGCATGTTTGAGAAATCCTTCAATCTCCTGCCTAAACACTTACTGGTACAAAGCTCCACCCATTGGTACAAAACTCCGCCTATTTGTGTACATAGCTCCTCCCAGGAGCCCAGTCTGCAGCAGAGCTCCCCTCCCCCAAAGCATTATTTGAAAATGTACTGAAGTGGGAGTGTCAGAAACGGTAGGAGGTTCTTATGAGACAGAGGCCAATTTTAAGGCGTTTTTTGATATATTCAATATCTTCCTAACAAGATAACCGTTTGCTGAGAGTTGTTTTCTTTTTTGTCTTTTTTACCATGTAAGCTTCATAAACTCCGTAAGCAACGGAAGGCGCATCAAAATAAATTGCRTTGGCTGATAGTAGCCTATGTCCAGGTTGACTTGGAAAGTTTTTTTTAACATAAATTTCATTAACTTCGGTAAGCTTTGTGAATGTGTGGCGGAAATCATTATTTAGTTTAAAAGGGTCTCCAAACAGTACCATCATTTATCGCAATAATTTCAGAGAATTTATCATCCAGCAAAATTTGTAATTGTGACAGGCCTAAATATAAATAATATTTACCGTATTTATTCAAGTATAATACGTAAAATTAAATCCATAAAATCATCCATAAAGTTGGGGGGTAGTTTATACTCGGTTAAATATTTTTACTTGTGTATTTTAACTGAAATATCGGCTTCATTCGCAAAATGCCCGAGTCCGGAAATGAGACCACGGCGTAAAAAGCAGTTGAGACGAGCTTAACAGAGCGAGATAATAACAGATCCAAGCAGGAGACATGATGTGAAAAAAAAGAGAGAAAAAAGTATTCCTGTACATTAGTAATGATAACAAACTAATGACATTAGCGTGTGACCGAGCCGCTCCTCGAACAACAACAAACACATGTTCGTCTGTAATGGCTGCCGTCTACCGGTGTTCTGAAAAAGTTTGTTTCCCTGAAAAAAGTTTCCCCACCAGAGGGGGCGCTCATGAGTAGGAAGTAATCTGCTTTTCCCCCACAAGATGGTCCAAATCTCATGTGAAGTGTCTGACTTTTGTGTTGGCGCCTCCTGGTGGACTATGTGTAAAATGCCAGAATTCATATGATGCTGCTACAGCTGATATATATTTGTTGTCAAAAATACCTTTTAGTACATATGTTGTTAAAATAAAATGAACAGTCCAATGATCATTTTACTGATATGTATAAAGACTGCAAAGGTTGAAAAATCTTGAAGTCTGGATGAAATTGGAGGTAGTTTGAGGATTAAATGTTTTATGCTTTTTAAGCACAAAAAACGGTGGGGTCGTATTATACGAGATCATATTATACATGAATAAATACGGTACTACAAACTGTGACTAGAGTCTAGAGTTTTTTTTGTTTAATGTCTAATAAGTCTAAGGAAAAATAAAATAAAAAGCATTTATTTGTCGCTGACAAGCTAAAGATGAGGAGAAACTGTACAAAATCAGATGTATTTTCATTTAAAAACAAGAAATCTGATGTAACTGCCTTGTTTGGTGGCTGAAAACAATCATTATTAACAAACCTTTGAATATTTATAAGAGACTTGGTTTCCTCTCCTGCAGCAACCAGCCACCTTCTGCATCACCAACTCCCTGGAAAGTTTCATAAAACATTAAAAGGTGCATATTAAAAAGAAGACTTTCTGAAAATCTACAACCAGGTGTTTGTGGCTTCACCTCCTCTCTCTCTTGTGGAGCAGAAGTCCCAGCAGGCAGATGATCAGACACACAGACATGACAGTCATTAAGATTCCCGCCGCCTGGCTCCGCCCAGAAGGGGAAGGAGATTCGTCGCCATCCGACGTCTGCCTGTCGACAGCTCTGCAGGAAGAATTTATCTACTTTTAACTAATTAAAGTCTTTGACGACTTGAACAGGTGAAAATAAGAGGTTTACTTACAGCAGTCCACACACAGCGTTTGTGTGCCACGTAAACAAATACTGACACTCATCCGTCTCCAGCATGAACTCTGGGATACCGAGGCCGGCGAGCGGTTTACATTCAAACTTGATGACGGATGAAACAGATTTGGTTTGGACACGGCCACACTTTGACTCGGACGGTACCATTACATCCAGATTTCCTCCTAAAAACATAAATGTGACCCATCACATCGAAACGAGGATTAAGTCAAAAAGTTGTATATGGAGAAATAGGCAAATATAGTGTTTTGACTAAAATGTTAATAAAAATTGCATTTTGTCAAAATATAATGAATAAAAGCCCTAATTAATGTATCATTTGAATGAACTGCCTGAATTATAATCATAAAACAAAATTTTGAAGCACTTTTTTGAGCAGTAGCAACAAAAAAAACTGATTTTGAGGAAAAACACCTTAAAATTTAGAGATTTTCCCTGTGAGTTAGCAAAGTTTTGTTTCTTTTCAGCTGGGAAATCTCAATATTCAAATATAATGTGAGGTTTACTCTTTATAAGGACATCAAAAATTCCTCATTAAAATTACAAAAAACTTAGGATTCAGACCAAATATTTATGTATTATTGTAACCAACAAGACAAATTAAGTCATATATATGGATTTAATTATATCAGAATGATCCAGGTATCAAAATGTAGC